AGACTCTGGCTGCTGTTCCCGCGACGTCCGCTGCACACAACCTAAAGTCTCGATTCGAGTTTGAGGCTATGGAGCATCGCATAAGTGCATTCTGGTGTCATGCTTTTGTAACAAATGAGCATGCTAACGGATGCTGGCTCACACATCACAACAACGATTCCCTGTGGACGAAAGGATGCTTTCAAACAGCGTGCGCAAATGAAACAAGAACGTAGCCTTTCCAACGTTTTTCAAATTCGACATCTGCGAAGCAATGCGTCAAGGACGTAGCGAAACCCTGCGTGTGCAAACGAAGATGTGTTCGGGAAGCCCCTTCTCAAGCTTTTTTTAAAAACAGATCAACAAGGCCAAGGCCCTCACATCAGCGGCTTGGCTGCTGCATAAGTTGTACTTGTCACCGTCGTCCTTGGCAAGTTGGCCATGCCAACCAAGCCCACTGGATAGCTCTTCAGAGGGCTGGAACCGATGAACGGACACCACCACAAAACATAGATCATGTTCATGTCCTGCGAATTAGCCGATACGAATGCTCAAACCTGTGGGAAATTTCTGCCAAGCCATGCGAGCCTCCTGTATGCGTTTCAATACCTTGAAACTGTGATTGGGCAAGTCGCAGTGCCGGATTTGCTTTGCTGAGCTGCGAGATCACAGTATCCAGCCCGCAGATGCTGCGCAAGATTCGCTCTGCCAGGGAGGAATAGATTTGCCGCCACATTGCAGGAATAAACACGGGAATGCGAATTAAAAACGCCGTGTCTAGTTTCGAATACTGACTGCGCACCTGCCCTGCAAAAACCTTGGAAAATTACTGTGAGAATGGTACGACAGTCCTGTCCAACAACAAAGTTACGAAAGGCACGTGAACCATCGCATCTGCGGCACTTGACATGCAGCACCACCCTCACCACCCAAGCACGTGGGACCTACACCTGAACCACCACTCCATCCAACTCCCAGGCCCCGTTATGATCCCGAAAAACGGGGTTAAACTGTTATCCTTGCTAAATGCTTCCTAGACCCCCCCCCCCCCAACTACCCTCGAACACATTCTAAATAACTCTTGACAAATTAAGGTTATTATGGACCATGGGGGCTCCATTAAAAGGCACATGGGGGGTCCTAGTTAACTCTAAGCCCGAGCTTGAAACCGGATGAGGGGACCTTCGGGAGGGGCCTGTCGAGAACCCCCCCACAGGAGCAGCGCAGATGTAGCGTTTGCGCATAATATAGGGCCCTTAATAATTAGAATAGGGTTTGCGGGTATATTCTACTAGAATCATAGTAAGGAACCCCCAAAATAATGTAGGTAATTATTAGACCCCTATATTACCCTTAAAGGGAACTCAAAGGAGCCCTTCAAGGGAGTGAAATGAAACACTGTACTAGGACCCTCATACTTTGTACCCTCAAAGAAGGGTATATGGTGCCAAATAATGGGTATTCAGGGTCTAATCGAACGTAGATGGAGGGTCTAGATAATCTAATGCTCTAGGAAGAGTTGTTGGTGCGAGCAAGTGCAGTAACCATGGGCTGAGGTGCCAGGTACACTTCAATAGACACTGGCGCAGGATCTTTGGACATTTGGTAGTGTTGTGTGCAGGATGCGGGTTTCAGGTCCTGGGCCAGTTCGGGTTGGGCTTTGGTTGTGTCTGGGTCGAAGATCATGCTATGGGTGAGTTGTTCAGGATTGACGTTTGGAAATAGTACGACCCGCTCTGGAGTGTCGGTGGTTCAAACAACCCACAGGCCCTAAAGTAGTTCCTTTTTGGGGTTCATATATAGAATCCTATATATGAACCCCAAAAAGGAACTACTTTAGGGCCTATGAGAAAGTTCTAGCAGATGAGTTGTGAAGGGAAGCGGGGCCATGGAAAACCATAACACTTCGCGGCTGCAGCCCTTGAGTTCCGCTAGCCTTCAGGCGGAAGGAAGCAAGTCATTGCCCATAGGCCCTAAAGTAGTTCCTTTTTGGGGTTCATATATAGACTCCTATAAGCTAACCCCAAACAGGAACTACTATGGGGCCTATGGGCACCCCGGCATTCAGTCTTCTACTGCCGTCAGAAGTCAGCTGTTCCCACGTTTCGGGACTCATAGCGCCAATCAGCAAACAGATCTCGGACACATGGCCTCCAGGGTTCAGGGTTACGCGGAGTATTGCTTCGGTTTCGGGTTTACGCTCTCGCAAGTCGGACTCTGCCAGACGAGGTCTCTTGTGTCCAACTTGTACAAACTGCTGACTCGAGCGCACGATCACGGTTTCGGGTTTCGGGTTTTCAATTTGGGGCGCCTGGGGGTGTTAGAGTCCAGAGGGCTCTACGATCCCAAATGCTACAAGCCTTACTTGTACATGCCACATGTAAAACCATGATACATGAATAGAAAATACCGAGAATTCAAGACCAGTGGCTCAAAGAGATAATTGCCGGAGCGTCCCTATTGTACAAATGGACCATGGAGGCAATTGCGGAGCGGCCGAATCCATTGATGGAATTTTGGAGTGTCATTGTGATGACTGCGGATGATGCATTGGCTGTGGCCGGTGGAGAGCCAATCGACGTGTCAATGTTCTCCCATCTTGAACACTTTCCATGGTCTGCAAGCAGCATATGCGAAAATGGTGCGCTGGGTTGGAGTTGGGCATTTCGGCGAGAATGCCTCATTTGCTGCATTGTTCTGGAAGCCTCTTCGCACTCGAGTGCGTGCGGCATTGAAGCGACCAGATAGGTATGGTGGACAAGCCCATCGGCACAATATAATTTGATCTTACTACCTGATTATTGACGCTCTGCGGGGTTCGTTGCAATTCAGGCTCGATCCATTAGAGCTTCCATTGGCCTTTGCGGTGCGATTGGGCTTCGATGTCTTCATTGGTTGGCTATGGTCCGTACTTGACCGGTTGTCATCGGTCCAGCCTGCCATTGTCCGGTGTCCGCGCACTTGACATACCGATTGAGGCACCAGAACATTACGGGAGTGCCCCATGTTGTCATTGCTCGACGACCAGGGGTATGAGATTGAGGAAATTGACTCCAGCGGCACCCACGTTCAGGCCATTGTGGCCGATCAAGGAGATGAAGAAGAATTGGCGGACACGGCCTGCAGCCCGGATTGGTCTGCCGTATGGTTCGCTGGAATAGGCGCCGATCCATTGGCGCATGAAGACCTACCTATAGGCCCCATAGTAGTTCCTTTTTGAGGTTCAGATTTAGAATCCTACAAGTTAATCCCCAAAAGGAACTACTTGGGGCCTATGGGTATATTGACCATCACCCAGGCACGGCTTTCCACGAGCTGCGGCATGGTCATTGATCTCTCCTTTGGGTCATCGTTCCGAGGATCAGCAAAAGCCGCTGCATTGTCGCAGCCTGCAATTTTTTCCTCTGCGTTGGCACTGGCGACCCTCGTGCAAATACCGGAGCCACGGTGGCGACATGACATTACAAAAGGCATTTTATAACGCCGAGAGCATGGCAGTCGAGCTGCAAGCAAAAGTCTTCGAGTGAGCCGATTGCATATAGTGATCTGATTGGTCGCGTGAGTTTCGCAAGGAACGGTGTTAGATTGTACTATCATTCTACAGCCGCCTGGTACCTCACGTGGTAACGGATCACTCGACACATTGGCTCAAGCTCCAGTGAAAACAATGCCGACCGAGTGATTGCATTCTGAAGCCCATTGCATATGTGATCGAGCATTGACTTGTTGCTTGCATTGTGCATTCCGGAAGAGTCTTGAAATGATCATTGAATGTTGAATTCAAGCCACCTTGAGAAGCCCCCCTTCCCCTTTCCAAAATTTCCCAGACGCTGCAAAAAGCACAGAAGCCCCCTCTTCTCAGCTCCGTTCGCCTTTCCTGAGTTTCTCAGACGCCGCAGACAAGAGCATATGGACTTACGACTTGTGGTTCCAAAAGCTAGTTTTTGGCATGATGAACGGTTTGGAAACGCAGAAATCTCTCTTGAACTTCGCAGTCGTCAGCTTTGGGCGCCAGAGCTCGCTGATCCACCAGACGCTCAGCTTACATCGTGCCGTTCTATCGTTTTTCCGCGAATTCTGCAAATAAGCAGCTAAAAAACGTTCCGATAGCTGCAGTCAGGTTTTTCATTTCAGACATATGTATGATTTCGTGGCAAATGTGTCCTACATGTTTTCATCGGAATAACTAATTAGTTTGTCGCGGTCCGACTGTCTGATGATCCCGAGTCAATCTCACACAATCAATATGATGACGGTGAGGCGGCCTCAATGATTTCATACGATGATTCCGAGTCGGTCTCGTTCATTAAATGATGACGACGACGTAGCCGTCTCTGAGTTTGCTCGAAGCCATTAAATGACAACCGCCTTCAACCATTTTCTCTACTGCCAATATTTTTTGTAAGCTATTTCATTTCCTGCACGATTTGCCGGCAGATGTCTTCATAGATGGTATCTACGCTCAAGCGTCGTCAGGACAACCAGGAAGTGCTTCTCCGTCAGAGCCTGCAGACCCAGAGCCAAGCTTGCCGTGAGGGCCTACTCGTGGCGCCATCAGCTGCAACGGAGCAGAATCATTAAAACCCCTTTTTTTGGAACCCAGACTCTGTGCGAATTTGAGACCCTAGACCCAAAAATGTTGCGTGATGCGACAGCACAATCTCTCACTTCCGAGGCCTTCCTAACGCACCGGTGCGACAAACTCTGAACCCTGATGGTTTAGGGTTTAGGGGTTTAGGGGCTTCGACTCTCACACTCGCACAAGGCCGGCAAGGCTCGGGGTTTAGGGTTTAGGGTTTATGTCAGAAAGGAATGCCAACCTCGACCCCGCCTGCTGGGATTGGGTGATCTTGTGGAGGTCCGCAGAGAGGTACCTGCGCATCTCAGGCTTAAAGCAAGACTTGAACATCCGAAGAACTATAAGCCCTGGAAACCTGCCATCTCGCATGTTCTCAGGTCGCCCACTCTGCGGGTGCATCCGAAGTAAACGGTGGTGAAACGAAGTACCAGCAGAAAGTCATTCACAACCGTACGATTTGCCTGCCACAGAATCGAGGCTTGCCATCTGGAGCATGTTTAATTTGATGTTCCAGCGGCGTTTTGTGATTACGCTGCCGAACAGGAACCTGACAGTCTCCTCGGAGCTCATCTGGCTGCAGCCACCCCCCGATGTCAACCTCGGTGTAGCGGTATCCTTTCCGCTCTAGCCATGCGACTTCTGCTTTCTGCGAGTTTCCCAAACCTTCCAGGTTGTTCGGTACCCTTGAAAAGAAGCTTGTTGGGCCATCTGACTATCTATAAAACTATAGGAACCCAAGACTAAAAGTGCAACAGCATACCACTTAGCAGCCTAGCCTTCGGATTCTTTCAGAAAACGTCCGTCTTCAATCGGAAGCCAATGCAGGAAGAGTCTGTGCTTCTCTCTGCTATGTTGCGAGGAGGAGTCGTGGCGCCTGTTCTTGCAGAGATTCTCGATGCCGGCGTCGTTGGCGGATCGATATTCTTCAGACTCCTCAAACTCGTTCATTCTCGCGAAGATGGCCTCCCTTCTGAGATTCTCGCGACCTGCCGTGTCAAAGTTCTGCACTTTACCCTGCCCGCATGCTTGCTGGAAGAAATACACGTGGAGCTCGGCACCGAATCGTACAGCTTTCTCAACATTCTCAATCCATAGTGCCCACCACCGACAACCCCACGGCTTTTGCTCTCCATACAGAGGGGTACACCAGCAATCACCCTCCAAACCTTCGGAGTGTGGGATGTTGCTGTGCCTTCCGAACTCCTTTGTGCCTTCCGGCAGGAAAACCACTGCGGCACTCGTCTCCCCCTCGCGTGCACTCTCGACCAAGCAATCCCAAGCCGTGGCATATTTGCCCGGCCAAGAAGTGATGCATGGCTTCCCTTGTCCTTCCATCACCGTACCTTGAAAGACGATGGTTTCCTCTAGAAGCCACCGGCGGGACGTGTCGCGAAGAGAATCATGGGTCTGGCCATCCGGCAAGATCGAGCGAGCCCAGGTGCCAGCAAAAGTGCCGACAAAGATGAAGAAGAGGTACACGACGGGGTGGTGGAACTGGTTGGAGAGAAGGTCATCGAAATCTTCCGGATCCTCCGTTCCATCAAGACCATTGACGTGAACAAGGAGAAGGACAAGCGTGGCACCTCCGGTCGCAAGACTACACAGACCTCCGATCCTTGAAACCGCTTCGAAAATTATAACACACCTTCTGCTCCTTGAAGCCGCCAAGTAGAGGAGAAAACACAGCAGTGCCATACCAAGTCCGGCGCAAGCATGAGACAACAAGCCTGTGAAGGCCATAGCCGGGATGAGAACAACTGCGGCACACACAATGGCCAGGAACCAGATGACTGCAAGCTTTCGAGCGCTCCGTGTCACTTGGGCTTCAGACAGCTTCTTCCTGCGTTGCCGCTCTTCTGTCTCCTTTTGAACGGCTTTCTGCTCGTTGGCTACCCAGCTGCTTGCTTTCGAGCTAAACACTGCCAGGTCTGTTGACGTGCGCAAGCAATATTCCGGATCCGATGCACGGCCTTGGCCAATGGTGGACATGACAGCTGGGTCCTCTCGCAAGCGGATGCTGAAGCTTTCTTCTGTCAGCTCACGCTTTTGATTGGGATACAAGATGCGCCATCCACGGCCGTTGTCCACTTCCACTGCTGCGTCGAGGTCGTTAACCAGTTGAAGTTTACCACCAGGCACGTCTTCGAGGTACATTTCGGACCATTCTTTGTATGCCTCTGCCTTCATCTCTTGACTGAACAGACCTAAATCCTTAGAGGTGCGGAGAGTCTTGCCCTGTGAGACCAATTCATTCGTGCCGATCCTCCACATCCGTGTTCGATCAGCGCTGAGTCGAATGGCAAAGCCTTCCCTCACCATTTGGCGGGACTGCCAGGACTCCAGCGCTTGCCATCCGTCGCCAAGGTCCAGCTCAACAGCGCTACGGAGGTCGTTCAGCAATGAAACGGTAGGCTCAGCAGTGGGCTCGGGTTCAAACCGAGTGCCATGAAACAAACGGCTTCCCATCGTGCAAGCTAGCTAGTACAAACTTAGTGATAATCATATGGAGAAAGTACTGAAACCTGACGTACTCGTTGGGGCGAATGGGGGGTGGCACTTCAGCAGAGCAGAGCTACGACAACTTGAATGAATCTCGATGTCGGGGCTCGTTCGGGGAGGGCTTCATAAGACAGCTTGCTCGTGCCATCGGGAAGATCTTGAGCCACAGGGCATCCTGAGTTCTCATCTGGGCTTCAGTGGCACCTGCAGCTACCGTGCGCAATCGGGAAGTGCCTGGCCCTTGCGTCAGCAGAACGCATCGGTTGGAGCCTCTAGTTAACAGCTGGACTCATACAAACGTGACTGACCGTTGATGCGTCTGATCTGGCCACTCTGCCAGCTGCAGGAGAGCCAGCAATGATTCGCAGAACCCTAAACCCCTAAACCCTAAACCCTATAGAGCCTAAATCTCCAGAAGGTAGAAGCGGCGCACGGCAGGACAAGTTCGATGTCCTCGAAGTCCGGCCCGGAAACCTCAGGAGGCGAAAAGCGCGGTAGACGAGGGCTCTGTCCTCAACTACTTGCCATCTAAGGTGCATTAAGGTGCTTGGTTTTGAGGAAGGCTGATCATACGAAAAGCCGATCTTTCTGTAGAGCAACTTTGATTTCACAGGCCTCTTTCTGGAAGCTCGGAGTTCAGGGTTTACGACACAAGGGGATTCGAAACGTGTAGGTTTGAGGGTGTGCCCAACCTCGGAAGCAAACCAAAACAACCCAATGTCAATCGAAGTCGACCATCGACTCTGAAATAGCGGGGGGAAACCCCCAACTGCACCGGATTAAGCCACATTATCGCAATAATTGCAGTCTAGTCTGGGGTTTGCCCTTCACCCTAATCCGCCGGATGGCACTGGACGGTTTAGGCCTAATTTTGAGGGCATGGGGTTTAAGTTCAAACCATAAATCCTGAATCATAGATCCCTGAACCCTAAACCCTTACACCGAAACCCCTAAACCCCTAAACTCTTAAAGCATTGGAGCGAACCAGACGTCTTCGAGCAGCAAAGATCTTTGAGGCTTAACGTAGGGACCTTAATAATTAGAATAAGGTTTGGGGGGTCCTTATCACCATTTTAGTATGATATACACCAAAGCCCGATTCTAATTGGTAAAGCTATAGGCTATTAAACCCGGGACTTATGAAACCATAAGCAAGAAATCCGATGAACCGTAAATTCGAAACCCCAAAATCCCTACAGAACGACTCTAGAACCCTATAATCGGAACACTTCAAGGACCCTTACCCTAAACAATCCGTATGAATCAAGCTTTGGGGTTGAAACCAAATCACAACTCCACCGGAACTCCGCAATCTCAAACCCGAAACCATAACACCCTCCCAGAAAACCTAAACCTAAAGCCCTAAACCAGAAACCCTCAACCCAAAAGCCTTTACAAACAAAAAACAAGCCTCAGCGGCCTTGTCCTCAGCCCCGCAAGCGCCGGAGCTCATGGCGAAGCCGCGCCAAGAGGCGAATCTGGATGCATTGGGTCAGGATTCCTCTTTGGGATCCATAAAGGTCCAATGTAGGGGCCTTAAGAATTCGAATAGGGTTTGGGAGTATGTTATAATACAAATATAATAATGAACTCCCACAATAGTATTGGTGATTATTTAGGCCCCTATGTTATAAATTTAAGGTGGGGTTGCCTAGGGTTTAGGGGTTTAGAGAATAAGGCCTAGCGTTTAGGAGATATGGCCCCCTGGCGATCCCAACCCCTACGGCCGAAACCATCCAGAAAGAGACATCATGCTACAATCTCCATCCTCTCCTCTTATGCATACCCCTCTTGAAACGTTAAGCTTAGGGGCTGAGTACCCTAGCCCCAAAATGGTTAACCTTTCGAATTATACTAGGATTATATAAGCCCCAAAAGGTTAAAGGTTACCTACTTCTCGGGCACAGGAGCAGGTTAGGCTAGGCCCCCGCCTACCAACAGGGATCCTAAGTGTACGGGGAGCCATACCAGGCCGTCTATCTTCCTGCTGGAACTAAAGCCTAAACCCCAAAGCGGGGGTTGTTCGAACTACGGGTGGCAGAGTCGACGTTGTGTACTAAGTGGAGCCTGAGAGCCGCAAAGCCCTAAACCCCCAGACCCAAAACGGGAGCAGAGGATTTTCCCCCCTAAACCAGCGGGCCCTACGGCTAGTTTCGAAAAAGACGCACCAGAAACCTACTGTAGGCACTTTATAGGGTTTAGGACTGTGGGGTTTCAGGGCGTAGAGTTCATGCTTTCGGGTTGAGGCCATGGCATTTGCCTAAACTCTAAAACCCAAATCCCTGTGTCCACTGCGGCTTTCGCTTTTGAAGTCGAGGCTCCAAGCTAACCCATGATTTCCAGACACGTACCCCTCAATGCGGCCTTGTGGCTTTAGGCTACGTAGGCCCTTGAAGCCAGTAGGGCTGCCTACCAGAAGACCCCTTTGTTTGTGAATCTTTTTCCTTGCCTCGCAGGTGCATAGGCCCTTCGAAAATCTGGAAAGACAGGGTGAGCTTTGTTACCTGGAGTGCGTCAGTGTATTATTGAGAGGCGCTCTGTTGACTTCGGGGGTTAGGGTCTGTAGGGCTATGCGAAGCGTTCAACAGGGTACCAAATTCGGACGCATGATTTGGATGAGCCGTGTCAAGGTGACTGTTGCAACTTCCATGGCCAATGCGCATCCTGATAAAGGGAACTCGTAGGGAAATCTGCGTAGATAAACCACCGCAGCCGCGGAAGCACTTTAAATGAATTGGCTGCAAGGCACAGATTCTGCTCAGGCTCGCTTTCCAGACGGCTGTTGTCCTGTTGACTGCTGGTCGCTTCTGCCTGATGTCTGACAGCCTTCCCCGCCTTGAAATGGCCATTCGCCAGCCTTCGCTGAACGAACGGCACGAGTAAATAGCGATGCTAACCGAAATGTAGGAAGCCTCCAAGATGCAAAGTCTCCAAGCCCAACAGCTGGTTGGATGGGTCATCTTACAAACTATATATTAGGGTTTAGGGTTTAGGGTCGGATTATTAGAAGGAAGCACCTCAGAAGCTCCTGCTTAGTAGCTTCGGGCACTTTCACACATGAGCTTTAAATTTCCAGTCGTTGACTTGTCGACTGTAGTCTGTGCTCAGCTTGCTGCCCTTTGACTGCCTTTGTGGGCTCTGTGTGCGACATTATATGCAAGGCTTTGGCCTTCAGGTTGTGTATGGGACTTTCGGGTTCAGCTGTCAAAGGGCGCTCTGCAGCGAGATCCACCATGCGGGACAGCAAGAGTCTCTTTGAGGAATTTGGTTTTCGTATCAGAACAAGACTTTCTAGTCACTGTAGTCATATTGATGTTCTACCACAAGCAGGATGTAACCAATGATGACCATGTGGCAAGTAGAGAGAGCCTCACATGTATACGACAAACCGAAGTAACAAACACCAATACGATGAAACTCTGGGGTCCCGGAAAAGCCATCATCACAAGGGATGAGGCAACAAGCTGCGTGGCGGATCGCATGGGAATCCGGGAATGGTGTGTTGATTCAGGTTGAAGGCACATGGCGTCGGCGAGCAGTGATTCTGTGCCTCAAAAATCCATCGTGTCTGCTCGGTGGACGTCTGGATCCCAATCCACCACTGCCATGGCCCTCTGGGGCCTTGTCGTTCTGCCCTTAGCCGGCTCCCACTCCAATTCCATCACGGATGACGTCCTTTCGGCTTTCGTTGCACTGTTGGTCTTGGTCACCAAGCTGCACCGAGCAGGTGATCCGCAATCCTTGCAAGAAGTCAAGGAGGTCGTCGTGCTGGCGCCAGAGCCCATGGCTTCAAGGGCTCAAAACTGCCCGGATTCCACGCTGCTGCTGGGAGTCTGCCAAAAAATGGCTATTTCGGCGAGTTCAAAAAATGCTTTCGGGGCACATCAAACGTCCTGGACCACGGTGAACCCTCAAAAAAACCAACTTACATCATTATGGCTCTGATAGTTGCTTCGACCAACATTTTATATATCACCCTGGCTGTCAGCTCAACCGCCTCTCTCGGTGGTATGTTTAAGGCTGGCTCTGCAAAGTCTGCGCTTCATCCTACGGCCGGCATCATCCCACCGCTTATACGTGAAGGCCCGACGACTGCCGACCAGCGAACGACGCAGACGCTGGATCAACAAGCCCTTTGCATCCGGTCTGCCAACCAAATGGTCAAACATCCTTAAAACTTAGACGTCCTTCAACCCTAGCAACAGAACTCCCGTCTTTGGGGGGCCTAAGCCCAGAACAGAAAGGATCCTGGTCAAACCACATCATGCCTCCTCCATTGTGCCGTCTGGCTGAAAAGCCAGGGCTTGGTGGCGAAGTCACGGCGACGAGCCTTTCGGCAGCGCAAAACGATTTTGCTGAGGTTTAACATGGCTTATAAGCGGCTGCAAGGCTTAGCCTTTAAGGATGCTGAGATAGCTTCATCATGCGCAGAAGATTTTCTACTCTGCATCAACAGAGGTATTCTGGGTTCAAGGTTTGCAGACTTTTAAGGTGATCTGCAGTCAGGATTTAGGGATTTCGGGGGTTCGGGTCTTCCGGCGGAGTATAGGGTTAGGGCCTTAAGCTTTCATTTTGGATGTCGGCTTCTGTGTTTAAAGTTTGGGGCTTTAGGGTTGTGCGTAAAGGGTCTTGCGGTGATGAGGTTCGAATGTCCCTCAATGTTAGGAGTTAGGAGTCTCACAGAAGAGCCGGATACTTCAATTCAGGATAGGGATCCAAATCAAGGAGTTGCAACTGAACAGGGAGATGAGCCGCGAAGAGATAGGGAGTCACAGAAAGCTACAGGGCCTGCAGGGTTCTCTCAGACGCAGCAAGGGGCTTGAGATTAACGTGGTTCAGTTTGGGGGTCTGGGTTTTTGCCAAGGGGTTTAGGATTGCGACATCTGGCTTAGAGCTTAGGGGCTGTTGGGTTTCGGATCCTTGGGGGATTGAGGAATTAGCATCACGAGTTTGAGGTATGCGGCCCTGTCGGTTGAGGGTTTGAGATTTTGGGTTTGCAGTTTCACTGAAGGCTTCGAGTTTGTGCTCAGGCCTCACCTACGGCGTCAAGTCTGTAGTCTAGTGATAGGCCTGCCTCATTACCTGGGCGGATGCCGCAAATGCTGAGAACGCAAGGGCGACGGGACAGGCGCAGTTCAGCTTCCCGGCTGGAGTTGTGGCTGGGTGCTTTGGTCCATCTGAAGTCGGTTCAGGGATGCCAAAAGCTGTCCGTTGGCTCGTATCGCATCTCGAACAAAAACCTACAATTGCCAATTGCCGCTGCAAAAGAAATACGAGCAACGAGAGAGGGAGAAGCAAATCCGAGGGTGCTCGCTGAGAGAACCTTTTTTTGCGTTGTCAAGTGTTTCGGCTTCTACTGAAGGGTTTCTTACGATCGATGCTCATCCAACGGCGTGATTGGTTTAGGCTTCCGGGTGTAGTGTTGTAGCATCTGGCTTTTCTGGAGAGTTTAGGGATTCGTCGGCACTAGCACTCGGACAGGCAAGGCAGGGACTGATAAGATGGTCTGACGAAGTGAAAACTGATAAGAGTTTGTCGCCGACACACGCACGAACATATCTGACCCATGTCGCCCAACGACAACGACACTTGATGAGTTCATGGTGTGGGTTCTTGGAGATTCGGGGTTCGGATCGATTCGCGGTTCGGGATTTGAGATCGGCGGGGGCCATGAGGGCTCGCTCGTACAATCCATGCCCCTGACTGTGTAGCAGCCGTGGCGCGGACCCGAAGGCGCCGTGCATGTGTTTGTGCGAAGCCCTTGAAATGTAAACGCGTGCCAATGTCACGAATTCCACTCCCAAGCCATCGAGGTTAGCAGTGGGCTAACTTGTCGCCCCGATTCTGAAGCATTTCTCCTAGTAAAGTTTTCAATATTGGTTCGAGAATCAGATAGGCCATCCGTCTAGCCGCAGCCCTTCCCCTGCAGTCTTAATCATTAATTTGCAGTGTGCATGGTCTGGGGCCGTGGGGTTTGGATGTTGGGATCAGCTCCCCTGAAGCGTCGGAGGTTTTAGTTGAAGTCCTGGCCTGGCTGCGGTGGAGGCGGTCTCTTCGCTGGCTTGCACACAAGGTCAGGCCATCCTGGGAGAGTGGAGAACATATCTGGTAGCCGAAGTGAAGAGGAATGCGAAGGGAGAGAGGACCTGAGCTGCTGGGCACAGAATGGCGGCACAGAAGACACTGGAAATGCGATGCATCCAAGTTCGACGTGAAATGCCAAGGCATGCCATTTTTCCTCTGTCTCGCATCTGGGAGCATCCAGCAGCGCCTGCAATCGCCGGCGCCGCAGCGGCAACGATGCGAGCGAGGGAAGAGGACCAAGTAAATGCGAGGTGCAAGGGTGCAAGTCGCAATAAGCTTTGGTAGTCGGTATCATCAAGAAGATCAGACCTCTCCCAACATTCGGAAAGCCCAGGAAAGCTCTAAGGCGCCGTCGTCGGATGATCCTGCCGTGGCCGACCCCTAACCTTGCAATCGCCAGGCCGGAAGAGGAGCATGGCCAGGGAGTTTCCCTCCGAAAAGCAACGCGAGAAGCTCAGAGCTGGGCTTGGGCAAAAACTGCAGTTGAATTGTCTAAAAAGGTGCCCGACGCTGCGGGGGCCTTCTTCTGTACAGAGTGGCGACTGGAGGCAGCTCTAAGGAGATACTCCTAGCATCGTAGCTTGGAATGTTATTAAAAGTTCTTCGCGAACTCTCCGCCCCTTTTTTGATTATTGCCGCCGCGGCCAGCATCTGTGATGTTATGGCTTCGGCCGCCCTTCCTGTTCCTTGGATCGTCCCTGCTGACTTCATGAATCACCGACAGACCCGAAGTGGGCCTTCGCTCCTTGTCCTTCGGAGGCCTTGCATCCTCCAGGGACAAACTGTCACGGCTTGAACTTGATCTCCCTTTGGGCGACTGGGCTTTGGCAGCCTTTTGCGCCTGCTCGCGCTGGTGCCAGGCATCCTCTGACAGCTTCAAGAGCTGATCTCTGCCCACATCCAGGAGGGTTTGGAACTGCAGCAACACATGCTTCACCTTGTCGGCAATAGCTGCCTCCGGGTCCGTTTTGTCTCCCTTCAGCCCTTTGGACGTTATCCTGGTCTTCAGGAGGTTCTTGAAGGCTTCGAATGCGAACTTCGCAGCCTCGGTCGTGGCCTTCCGCGGTCCGACATGGCTTTTGCTGCTCGGTGGATCTTCCACTGTAAGCTCCATTCGAAGCTTTTCGATGGCCTCGGAAGCAGCGCGAGCAAACTCGCGTCGAAGCTGCTTGGGCCCTTGGGCGGCCAAGCTCTCCAACTCCACGAAGTTCACGACTCCGCCCTCCCGGTCCTCCCCAAGCTTCTCCTTCAGCTCGCCAAGCCCACGGACGAAGCTATCCGCAGCCCCATCTGCGAACTCAGTGCTTTTTTTGGTAATTGTTAGGTTGATCTTGACCGCTGGCAGCGGTTTCAACTCAAGGCTCAAGGCCTCGTCCAAGCCCGCCAAGCCGTCGATGTCGCCAGTCGCCACCGATTCCATCTCGGCATTCAAGTCCTGGGAGGCTCGCTCAGATCCTTCAGAGTCCGAGTTGCCCTTGTAGGGAACCTTGAAGTTGAGGAGCTTGAAGCGACACTTGCGCGCAGCCTTTCCCTGAGGGTGGCAGCCGGTGCGGGGCCAGTGCCCACTGCTTCTGGTTTGCCTGGTGGCCACGGATAAACGGGTGTTGCTCTGAATTTCCCACCGTGTCACTGGGTATGGAAAGACTATGGGCTCATGAGGTTTCGTTTGCCGCGGAAGGCTCTGCAAACAGTCGTTTACTTGCGCTGCATGCTCAGTTGAATAAACGATCAGCCCCTTCTTCAACCGTTTGAGCTCGTCCTGCAAGCTATCTTTATGGTTGAGGAAGCCCTGCACATCTTTTTGCGAGAGCAGTAGGATGGCTCCGTTGGCAGACGGCGGCCTCACCGTGTTTCTGAAGGTTAGGTTCATGCCCCTCGCGATGTCCAGGATCGACTTGTGCTTTTCGGGGAGGTCTTCCTCCAGGCAATGGGCCTTCTTGTCCAGAGCGTTCCTGGCATCCCGGATCACCTGACGGACCTCTTCGTCCTGAGTCTTGCTTTCTTCGCAAGACATCTTCGTCATGACAGCCTTGAGTCTTTCTATGTCTTCGATGACAGGGAGCCCTAAGGCCTTGAGAAGGTCTCGGAAGTTCCCCTTCGCTTCCAGTACCGGCACCATGGCACCACTGTCACTGGCGGTCGGACGGACGTCTGGGGATGTCTTGGGCCAGAAGCCATTTTAGCGCAACATCTCTGTCGTGTGGGCCACGCTATAACGGAGGCCAGAGGCTCCAAGTCTCCAGAACTAATTACATCGTATCGTGCGAGCTGCAGAGCCCAATTTAAAGCATATAGCCCGTTAGCCCATGAATCAGGCCTTCCCTGAAGCCGAGTCCATGCCAAGTCGCCGGAGCCCTGGCGTCCGAAGGCCGCTCACCCTCCTGTCTGCGGCAGCTTCAGCCTCCAATGTTGAACGATTGTGGGGTTGTCATGGGATTGAGAACAGAGTCAGCCGTTGTTGCCTCCTGACCCGGTCCTAGGGGCCTGGAGTCTATAGGGTTTCGGGCTTGGAATAACCTCTCTCTAGAACGATTGCCGTAAAGCCGAATCCCTCAAGCCTCTTAGCTGGAGGCTTTGCCTCTCTCTACTATCATCACCATCACCATCTTGTTGGTAAGGTTCGGGGTTTAGGCTTCAGACTCAGACCGGCACCCCTGGTACACGGGACCTCCCTCAACTTGTCACAGTCCTCTGCCCACTCATCTCACGAAACTGGACGTGAAGAGCTTCTGTACTTCCAAGAGCTGCCTCCATCGGATAGGACAGAGCACCCAAGCCGTCGTACGCAGATTCGAGGAACCCGTCCACGTGAGTGAACAAGCCATCCTGTTCACAGCAGGACAATAACGGTCAAAAAATACAAAGAATTCAGACCCTATGATCCATAACCCCTTCACATCCTCGGCCTCAGAGTCCTTTTGCAAAGCCACCCTTGTTGAGCTCTGCAGCACTTGTGGAAGGCTTGGGAAAAGCGTGGCCCCATCTGAAATCTGGAGCCACAGATTCTCTCTGGAATAGCTCCCCCGTGCAACTTCCTTTGCATCCGTGGCTTTCCATCACGCGAGCTCCGAGGCTGGATAAATGTCCCTGCCATCTTTCTGAAGAGCTCGTCCGCCAATAAAGCGCAAGAAGTCTCGTTGCGTAGCCATGAAGCTGCACCAGGCCGCCGATCATGCTCCCTTGCTTCCTCTGAGCTTCATCTTGGGAGCCCCGAGGGTCCCATCTGTGCGTTGGCGGCCAGCACCCCATGGTGGATGCAGGCGCCCCCGACGCGCTCGGGGGAGAGGAAGGCAGCGATGGGCTGGATGAGGCCCCCCGGGTGCAGAGCCTCGAGCATCCGCATCTCGAGGATGGTGTCGATGTTCACGGAGAACTGCCTTGTCAGGTTACGTAGCTTGGGGCCTGCATGGGTGTTTTGGATTAGGCTTCCGGGGTCCTGGTCAAAGCATATCTATAACACTCTAACTGCTGTCAGTGGTGTTTTGAACATTGGTGATTCCTCTCTTTCTTCGTACTTCCGCGAACCTAACCAGGGCTTTGAATTCAATTCTTAAGTGGTATGGCTCGTTGACCTGGGTTTTAGCTTTTTTGTCTTGGCGTGTTGGGCTTTATGCGCAGAGCCTACGGTTTGGGGGCCTAGGGTTGAAGGCAGCGCACAAGAAACCGCATCCTCTGCAGCAGTAGCTGGTTCATCGGTCTACTTTGGGTTCTTAGGAGTTCTCAGAGTTTGAGTTTGGGCGGTCTTAGTCATCTGAGGTATCTCCGAAACGCTCAGTCAGCCTTAACGACTCTCTCTCCCTGAATAACAAAAACCCAAAGCCAAACCTCTATTTCCAAAAGTGTGTGTGTATATATATATATATATATATATATATTTGCCCAACATCCAGACGGAAGGTCTCCAATGGACCATAAGCAAGTGGACCAAGGTGCTCCATTGGAACAATTGAGGCGTTCACCTCCGCAGGCACCCGAAGTAGGGGCCAAAGCATCTTGAAGCGACTCACCCGTAGCCTGGAAAGGCTTGAGTCTTCATGGCATAGGATCGGGGGTTCGATATGGTCTTCTTTGGTGGTTTTGCTAAACTCGAAAACGAAAGGCCCTGAGCCCATTCAGCTTCAGGAGTTAATGGTCGGTCTACCGTAAAGCATACTTAAATGCTAGAGTTCTGGGAGAAGCGTATTGTTGTACCAGTTCGTACTACCGTAATTATTCAAACCCGTATATTGCTCACAGAATGGGAAATCGGCCAGGGATCCGTTTCTGAAGAACAGCGGACGGGGCCCTATACCTGAGTCCCGTAGAGGAACCCGCATAAGAGACTGGACTCAACGCCAGTATGGCCTGAAATATCATGGGGCATACGGCAGTCAACAGTTCACAGCAGGCACAAACTCATTCGGGCAGCCGCACGAACCCACACACCTGTGGTGGACCTGGGACCAGCAGTATGCACAAGAACTGAGTACACGTCGACCGCATGAATGCACGACAACTGTACCGCATCAGATGCGACCGACTACAGTGACTACAGGATCGCAACCGCCCTTCACCCTAAGCGTGGATCCTTTATACCAGGGATTCCGAGCTTACGTACATGGAAGCCATGGGAAGGAACTGCGTGGGCCGCCCCTGCTTCAGGCGCTTTCGGCCGCAGGGCGTACCAAAGACCATTCATTCCATTTCCATGAGCACAGATAACAAAAACTGCCCAAATTCCGAACCCCTAAATTAAACCCTAAACCCTAAACCCGAATCGTCAGGCCTGGATCCTTGCACCTGAAAGCCCGCAACCCTAATCCTGAGATCCGAAGTCCTTAACTTAAGCCTAAAACCTAAACCTGGAGGACCGACCTGCGAACCGAGGTCCCCTGGTCCGAACATTGTAGCCCCGGTTTAGGGTTTAGGGGTTTAGGGTTTAGGCACCATCAAAGAAGGTAATAGTCTACTAGCTTCCCCAGTAGCCCCTTGGAGACCCCAAAACACAAAGGGCAAAAGTGACTACTGGGGAACCTAGTCTATCATAGTTTCATTGGGCGACTTACTCTAAGCACTAAGAACATCTTTTAATGGGTCTGTTGGTGGTATGCTGGAGTAACAGAACTATACAGGGACTAACCATGGTTATCCAGACCACTATATCCTGCGAGCCTCCAGCCCACAGCCAGCCCTACCTCTGACCCCAAAGTCTACTAAACAGAACAACCCCGAGCCTTGAGCCCAGAACTACCTAACCTTTACTGTAGCAGTCAGGTGGCAGCAACGAGCGCAGCATGGCCAAAGGTCCTCCGATCGCAAAGGGCCAGCAACTGCCTCGCAAATCTCGAATCGGAGCCGGTTCCGAGAAACAGCAGAAGCTGGCTTCCGGCCCAAACTCGAAGCCTTCAGCCCTAAGATTCCTTCAACCCCAAACCCCTCCGAAACTCCGAAATCGCCCCTCGCCGTCCTCGCGTCTGATACCTCTGCATCCTTAGGTAGATCGGCCCTCGCGTGCCGCGCGGGCGGTGCCGGGGATCCCGCGGATTCCGGGGCCCGAGCCCGACATGGCAGGTGACCTCAGCTCTGGCTTATGGTTCAGAATTTAGGGTTTAGGGTTTTAGGGTTTTAAGGTTTTAGGGTTTAGGGTTTTAGGGTTTTAGGGTTTTAGGGTTTTAGGGTTTAGGGGTTTAGGGTTTGAAGGGTGCTTGGGAATGTCTGAAGCGCCATACGTACCACAATGGAACCAGCATGTTTAATGATCCTTTAGAGTTGTATTAAGAATCCACATTCGACTTGGTTCTTACGAGCACTAACAGAGTTTGGGGTACTTGGGTTTATGGAAAGTACCTCTTATATACAAGAGTAGGTATCTTAAATAAGGGGTAAGGTGTGTGTGTGTGTGTGCGTGTGTGTTCAAACGGGTTTAAGGGGGTTTCAGGTTTCGGAGGTGGCCCTTCAGAGGGCCCGTTTTTGTCCGGAAACGGTTTAGGGTTTAGGGTTTAGGGGAATTGCAGGGCTCACGGATAGTCGGGCCTGGAAAGCCACTTCCTGATCCTCCACCGCAAAATCTGCATCTATTTCTGAAGACCCTACACCATAATCCCAAAGCCCCCAAAGTCTAAGCCTAAGCCCTCAACTTTCGAGCGGTGGGTTTTTGTGCCACGGGAATCTGGACATCGGCGAAGCTTTCAAGCCTTTGCCGTCGGATTTCCTGGCCTTGGGGTTTAGGGTCATAAAGTTTAGGGCTTCAGTCAGCAGAGCTAAAGCCGGAAAGCTGACACCACGCCTTGGGCTAAAGTCTGAGAGCTTATGGCGCAGGGAACCCAAAGTCCCATTATACTCGAGATGGCCCATCAGGATGCGCAAGCCTGCACCGGGGAGGAGCCGCACAGCCCGAAGCATAAAACCATAAGCTACCTTAAACCAACCAACTTATAAACCCTGACCCGAGGGCCCTAGATCCCAAACATTTGGATCCCAGATCTGCTGAGCCCTAAACCCAAAACCCCGAACGGTCCTACAGCCAAATGATCCACAGTCACTAACGCTGGACCGGGTGACGTTGGCGCCGCCAGCTGACTCATATCCAAGATGCTTGGCCGAGAGGTGGATGCACCTGTTTAACCCTAAACCCTAAACCCCCAAAAAATAAACCCAACCCTTTTTTTGAACCCAGACTCTGCCAATAATAAACCCAACCCTAAACCCTAAACCCTAAACCCTGTTTGGTGCTCGGGGGTTGTAGGGATTTGAGGCTTTACGGGTTGGGGCTTTCAGGGGCCTACGGCCCAATCCCTGAACCTTGACAGCACCAATACCGGGTCCTTGATAAGGCACATGAGTTAAGATGCGTGTGCTCTACTTGGAGGTTCATGGATAGTTATAAAGTGGGGTTATAAGCCCCCTAAGATGGGCTATAACCACAGTTACCCTACATTATAACCCGACTTATAATTACCCCTAAACCCTAAACCCTATAGAACCCTCAAACGGGGACCCTTAAAGGAACCCCAAATACCCCCCCACTTATAGCTACCCATGAACCTCCAAGCCACCTGAAGCGTCGAGGCTTGAAGCCATGATAAGGAGACCCAGGCCCTAAACCCTAAACCCTAAACCGGAAGCTGGGCTTTTTATAGGGTTCCTTTGAAAACCTGAAGCTCCCTCTTCGGTATCCTCGCCTCGGTTCCGTCTAGGGTTTAGGACTTAGTGAGATAAGGAATACTTAGCCTATGTTCGCAGATATGATGAGGACTCGAATCAACCAAGTTGTTTGAAGAAAGAACAGAACCTCCTTCGTCAACTTTAGCTTCGAGAAGTGGTTAGGGTTTTGGGGTTTGGGGTTTAGGGTTTCGGGTTATAATCACTACAAGACCCTATAAATAAGCTAGCCCTGCAGAATTGCAGGGAGGATTTGGGGCTGGGCCGCGAGATCGCACTCCTGAACTTGCAACCTCCACTACGCCTCGGCCTGAGAGCACAGCAGCCGCTTTTCGGAAACGATGTTCGTATAGCATCCTCCTATCTGGGCTCTGGAAAGCCATACAAGACCGTCTGCCATCCTATCAAGCACACATCAAAGAAGCACGTGAAGATCTCGCAAATGAAAGCCCTTACAGTAACCCTTAAGTGGCCCGGAACCCGAATATGCCACCCTTCAAAGGAACCCTAAGCAACGATGGCATCATTGTACCCTGTTTTAAATAACCCCCAAAAAACCCTACTATTCCCTGAACCCTAAATCTCCTAAAAGGCGACCCCCCAGCTATGGCCTTCCTTCAGCCTCCTTGCCCGTCGGCTCATGGAACTCGTAGCCGGTACAACGCATCCAGGCATGCCGACACATCTCCTCTTGGTGGTTTTAGGATATTTAAGGCCCTTAGAGTAGTTTTAGGGTAGTCTAGGGTACCAGGGCACTTTAGGGTAATTAAGGCACTTAGGGTAGTTTTAGGGTTGTTTTAGGGTTGTTTTAGCACTTAGGGTACTTAGGAAACCTGACACTTGGGTACCTTCGGGTTTTTAGTGCTTCCAGTGTTTAGAGGCTTGATGAAAGAGTACTGCATTGTGTTTGCGAGGATTCGGGTTGCTCTCTCTTTGTCTAGACGGTCCTGGGTTTAGGGTCATTGGCATTGGCGGTGTTGCTGTTCTAGGTTTGCCTAGAATAGGAGGAAATCGGCGTAATATAGGGGCCTTACTAGCTCGAGTAGGGTGATCTTTAATTAACGCTTTCGGCCTCCTTGTACACTCACTCTGAGTAGTGCTGCTTCTGGTTCTCAGTTGGCAACATCCACAAACCCGAAGCCCCAAGCCCCAAACTTTCGAATTGCGTGATGTGGTGACTGGATGCACTCGTCGGGTCATCGCAACTGATTTCTGAAGCTCGAGAACCTCGAACAGCCCAAAACTCGAACCCCCAAACCTCAGATCCAACCTCAAACGGAGACCAGAGCAAAAGCAACCCAGACCTGATATAGGGGCCTTCATAAATAGAATGTGGTCTGGGGTGTATTATGGGACACTTAAATAAGAAGAAGGCCCAAGGAAGGATGTTGGTAATGATTCAGGTCTCTGTACATTCAAGCCCCTGAACACCCCAGGGCTCCTCGCAAGAAGCCCGGTCCAACTCTCCCTGGTGAAGGTGCTCCTGGGAAGACACAGCCGCTCAGTGCAAGCTGTATTGGCGGTTTTGGGGCTCCTATCGACCTATACCCATGTCTGTTTCATTACTATCCATCTGTGTACTTGTTTTTTTAAGTATGAAGATAGATATACTGTTGTGTGGCTCAAACACCGAACCCCTCAATCCTACAACCGCTGCAAAACCCTAAACACTAGCGCTTGGGATTAAGGCCAACAATCCAGCAGTGCCCCACCAGTCATCAGTGCGATAACTACCCTACAGGGTCCACAGAGGAGACCATATAGCGCGATACAAGAGCTAGGCTCCGAAATTAATGGTGGTGAAGCTCATCTCCACAAAAAGAGGGCTGAGGTGAAAGACTGTACATGTAGATCCTTAAGTAGCTAAAGAAACAACCTGAAACCTTCACAAGCCGTTTTACGGGCCCGTACGACCCCTATCAACACCGATGGAAATAGAGGCCCTGTAACAAGTATAGGGCCCTTAACAACTCCATAAACAAAGCATCGAACCCCATAACCCCCCTCCACAACCCCAAACAGTTCTTAGCAAGCCCCAAGACCGTAAAGACCCCAAGAACAAAAACACAATCCCTAAACCCCGCCCAGAAAAATCCTCAAAGATAATATTTAACGCCTTCTTCTTTTGCCCGATGCTCCAGCTTCCCACCGCCGGCGTCCGCGCATCGGCCCGGCAAGGTGGCGAACTCCTTTCGGCGAGCCTTACGGTCAAAGCAGAGGGCATTTGTGGCAGGGTTTTAGGGTTTAAAGGATAAGTTCTAAGGGATTTTACGGATTTCGCGTGGGCCGGAGACTCACAGGAGAGCCGACTACTCCTTCATAAGGAATAAACAAGATATCATAATAACGACCTAAGTTCAGGACTCGAATGGGAATAAGGATTCCTCCATATTGCAAGGCCTGCAAAGCAAACTTGTTGCTTACGGGTTGTATATCAGGACTCTTTTTGGGTTGATATTCTGGTTCATAGCATATTAGAATTAAGCCGCTTGAAGGTTGAAGGATGAGGAGCCTTCTTTTTCCCATCGGCGGTTCGGGTTCTGGCAGGGCGTTGTATGAATGGAGAGGTCTGTAGAAAGGATATAGAGCCCTTCTGGATACCGGAGAGTAGGAGCAGAAACCCAAAACCTAAGCCGAAAACTTAAAGCCCCAAGCCCAAACCTCAAACTTCAAGCCTTTTCAACCTTAAGCCCCCAAAATACCTTAGACTCCCAACACCGCAAGCTTTGGAAGTCTACGCCCAAGGCACCTTCCCTCGGCTTTCGGGCAGCAGCGGCAGGACCAGGTCCACCGTCCCTTTGGGGTACTGGCTGCAATCCTGGTCTTTAGGGCTGAGGGCTCAGGCTTCTAGGGTTTAGGGTTTAGCGGTAAAGGATTTAGGGTTTAGGGCTTTGGGTACGGGGTTCTCAAAATTCCCAGGTAGTAGGGAACTGTAAATCTCATTTTCGGTGCTCCTACGCGAAATCGCATAGAGACCTTGAGCCCCTGAATCCCTACAACCCAAAGACCCCGCAACTCACGAACCCTCACCTCCCTGCCTATGAGCTCCAAAGGAACCGCAAGCCATTATAACCTGCAGCCGAACTCAACGAGCTCCTGTAAGGGGGCAGAAATAATAATTACCAATACTGTTTTTTGCGGGGTCCCCTTTTCAAACTATAATATCATAAAATGCCTCAAGACCGAGACCCTACTCTAGTTCTGAAGGCACCTATATCAAGCCCGAGATCCTGCAGCAACATTTGCAGCCAAAACGCGTCGAAGCCCATGGACCAAAGGCCTTGTAGCTCCGTGCTGTTCCTTGGGGCAGCCAGCCCTAAACCCTAAACCCGAAACCCACCCCTTCGTTGTCCTTGCAAGGCTTTCTGGGGATCCAGCTTAGGATCCCCCGTGAATGTACTTTCGGTGGTGTTTGGAGTTTTGAAGTTGCAGGATCCTTCTTAGGTTGCTGCAAGAACTTCAAGAGTGTTTTTGTCCGGCTTGAAGCTTAGGGGATTGGATCCCTTTCGGGATTTCGCACGGTCGTGTAGATTTAAATAAAGCCTAACGAAGTAAGTTTTGAAGATCAACTTGGACAGAGGGAGTAAGTAGGACATGGGGCTGCAGAATGCATGATGTTTCGGCCTCGGGCCTCGCGATCGGTGGCCTTGATGAAATCAGTTAGATAACGGGCCTGCCGGCATAGTGGAGTAGTACTGTTACTCCAGACTTCGTCTGCGCTCTTCCGTGGGCTTGAAGCACCAGGATGTTTTAGGACGCATGCAAGGGCAACGGGTTCACAGCTTGAGGTTCTTGACATTTCCTTTATCACCCGTTTCAGGGTTCAACCGCAAACAATACACGGGCTAGTTAATCCTTGTCTGAACACCCCACATCGTCCCTAAATCTGACCACGAGGCATGTAATACACACACGCACGAAAGAAAACCCCCTTGAACCCCCCCCCCCATTCTTGTCCGAATCCTGAAGCTAAAACGGCCCGCCGGGGCGCTGCAGGTATGCGCCGGCAGCCGTGAGCCACTGGGCCGCGCTGTTGGTGCTCTTCGGGTAGATGTGATCCTGCGTAGAACGAGTGTGGCTTCAGAAGCTTTCGGAGTCGCAGATTGAATTTTGGGGTTTTGGCTCTATGGTGCGATGGAGGCTGTCAAGTCTGCAAAAACAATCAAGTACCTTCATTTCATGGAACTTGTCACATATTGGTCCGCTACCAAGAGCCATCACAAATGTCCCATAAGCTCCTGTGTCTTGTTGAGGAAACCATAACTTTGCAGTTTTTGAGAGGACCCTCTACATTGTACGTCCAAAAGCGTTACACACACTTGGGTTTGAAAAAGACCAAAGTCATGTACCGGCCATAACTGCCATCCTCAAATTCCTTAAGCAGTGAAGTCCTCTGCGCCGACCCCGAAGACTTGTTGCAGGAAGCCCGTGGAACCGAACCGAACCGCAACGAACCGCGCG